ATAACCGAAATAACCGAGAAAAAGAATTGGATAAAAAATAACGATCATCATCATAGATAACGGTTCGGGAAAAAATGACCAGATGATCATGATCATCATCAGAAAACTTGGTTCGTTAAGTTTGTTTTTGTTTTGTTATTATCAAAAACTTTTTTATTTTTTGTTCTGTTTTTGTCTAAACAAAACTATAGATAATGTAAAACAAACATTGAACAACCAACAACCGACCGACCAAAAAAATGTTTTTGTCTTTAACAAAGTTGAAGAAAAAACCGAAAAGTATTTTGTTTCAAAACCGAAAAACCGAAAAAACAATTTTGCTTTACAATCCGCTTTCGTTGACAGCCATACACCCACACACACACATTGACTGACTGAAATTGTTTGTCGATTCCAGGCCAATGGACCAAACTGAACCAAGAAACTAAAGAAAACCGAAACCCGAAAAAAACCGAAACCCGAAAACATCTCGGAAAAAGAAAACAAAAAACCATCTTCATTCAAATGATGACAGGCCACAAAAAAAATGAACGAAAAAAAATCTCTTGATAGAATCGAAAATTAAACCACCACTGCAGCCACCACTGAACTGCACCACCATCCCCACCACAAACCAAAAAACCAGATTGAATAAAACTGGAAAAAAACTGAATAAAAATGATGGAATAGAATCGAAGAAAGAAAGAAAAGAATCAAAAGAGAAAAATCAAAAGAAACAGAAAAAGATTTTTCGTAAAATCAAAAATCAAAATGGACAATCATAGAATCCAAGCAAACCAAATTTGATGGTGACAACTGAAACACAGCACATTTAAAATGACCAAAAGAATCAAAAGGAGAAAAAAAAACATTTTTTTTTTCCAAAGAATTTCCTGAACAATTTAAGGAATTTGTTTTTCCTAAGTGTCTCTTTTTCACTCTTTCTCTCTTTCTGTTACTCTGTCTTTCCATCTCTCTCTCTCTCTCTCTCTCTCTCTTGATCATTTGATCTGATGACGACTATTAAAGGATGATGATGATAATGATGAAACTTGGATCACACACTTTGCGAAAAAAGTGATTCTTTTTTCCTTAAGAATTTTCGTCAAAGTGATGATCATGATGATGAATAAATGTTGAAAGTTTTGGCCAAACAAGCAAAGAACTTAATATACTTTTAAGATGTTTTTTGTGAACGTTTGAATTTCTAGAGTTTTGTTCCTGTTTCTCGAAAATGATCTTAATGGTGATGATCTTTCTGATGACAATAATCATTATCAATGTTTCAATGATGACATTACATACAGATATATAATTGTTGATGGATCAAAAATCTTCATCATTTCAGGATCAGAAGAAGTACATCATTTAGAATCATCATTATTTGTTAAAGTATACTTAACGACGGATAAACTGTTTCGATAAATTAAAAAAAGGATTTGATTCCGGAAATTTTTCCAAAAAGATTCTTCCGGAAATTTTCTTTTCTTTTCGGTTTTTCTTCAATTCGAACCATATTGTTGGTCCACTATTTCGACAATTCCGGCTTCTCTCTCTCTCTCTCTCTCTCTCTCTCTCTCTCTCTCTCTCTCTCTATATCGATTTATCGAGATGCATTGTCTATATCTCCTTGT